ATTTTTTTTTTTTTTTTTTTTTTTTTTTTTTTTTTTTTTTTTTTTTTAGGGTTAATGAGACAAAATGTAGTGAATTAGATGAGGGTTTAGGGGTTTATTATTTGTGGTTTGGTGATGCTCTTCTTTCTATTGAAGAATCTAAAGAAGATATGCTCGAACAATTACCTAAAGGTAGGGTTTAGGGTTTAGGGTTTAGGGTTTAGGGTTTAGGGTTTAGGGTTTAGGGTTTAGGGTTTAGGAGGGTTTATGTAGATAAGTTAACAATAACGGATACAATAATAAAATGATTGTTATTATTGCAGGTCCAACTAATGCAGATGGCAGCAGCACCACCGCAAGCACCAGCAGCAGCAGCAGCAGCAGCAGCAGCAGCAGCAGCACAGCAGCAGCAGCAGCAGCAGCAGAGGAGGAGAGAGAAGTATTAGATGATGAATTGGCATTTCAAATGTTTGAGTTAGCAAAGAAATGTCTTGCTAAAAAATTAAATTATAATTCTCCTGCTGCTCCTGCTGCTGCAGCAATTGCTGCTGCTGCTGCTGCTGCTGCTGCACCAACAACAGCAGCAGAGAAGACAAAGGAAGCAGCAAAGAATGAAGCACAAACAACTGCAGACACAGCTGAATTAGATGAGGGTTTAGGGGTTTATTATTTGTGGTTTGGTGATGCTCTTCTTTCTATTGAAGAATCTAAAGAAGATATGCTCGAACAATTACCTAAAGGTAGGGTTTAGGGTTTAGGGTTTAGGGTTTAGGGTTTAGGGTTTAGGGTTTAGGGTTTAGGGTTTAGGAGGGTTTATGTAGATAAGTTAACAATAACGGATACAATAATAAAATGATTGTTATTATTGCAGGTCCAACTAATGCAGATGGCAGCAGCACCACCGCAAGCACCAGCAGCAGCAGCAGCAGAGAAGACAAAGGAAGCAGCAAAGAATGAAGCACAAACAACTGCAGACACAGCAGCAGCAGCAACTGCAGCAACAGCAGCAGCAACAGCAGCAACAGCAGCAGAAACTGCAGCAAAGGGAGATACAACACCAACAGCAGCAACAGAGCCTGCAGCAGCAGCAGCAGCAGCAGCAGCAACAGCAACAAGAGCAGGACCAACTGCAACAGAATCAGCAGCAGCAGCAGCAGAATCAGCAGCAGCAGCAGCAGCAGCAAAAGGTCTAAGCAGGGAGGAAATAATATCTACAGCAACAGATCTTTCTTTTGCATGCATGCGCTTAGGGGATTTACAATTAATGAATAATAGATTTCAAGATGCAACACACGTAAACCCTAAACCCTAAACCCTAAACCCTAAACCCTAATTTTTTTTTTTTTTTTAATAATATATATATAATAAGTAATAATAAATAAATTGGTGTTTATTAATAATAATAATAATAATAATAATAATAATGAATTCTTTTTTCCTTAGAATATATATATATATATATAATTGTATATATTTAAGGTTTTAGGGTTTTTTAGGGTTTAGGGTTTAGGGTTTAGGGTTTGGGGTGTATACAGGACTATGGAGAATCATTATATATTCGTTATTTATATAAATTAAGAGAAGAAGGATCATTAGCAGCAAATATTTCCTTAGCACAATCTTTCTTTTTTACTGGGGATATACAACAAGCATTAATACTATTTAAGGTAATTCCTGCTGCTCCTGCTGCTGCTGCTGTTGCTGTTGCTGCTGCTGCTGCTGCTGTTTTGGGGAATTAATTGCTGCTCCTGTTGCTGCTGTTGTTGTTGTTGTTGTTGCTGTTTTTGTTGTTGCTTCTTTTGTTGTTGCTGCTGCTGTTCTTGTGCTGTTCCTCATGCTACTACTATTCCTGCTGTTGCTGTTGCTGCTGCTGCTGTTGCTGCTGCTGCTGCTGCTGCTGCTGCTGGTGTATACAGGAGTGTGCTGCTCTAGCTAATCGTATATATGATGGTTTGCTTCCTCTTCCTGAGGGGACAACACTAAAGGCAGTAAAGGAGACAGCAGAGGATTTATCTATACAGATAGCAGAAATAGAGCAGCAGCAGCAGCAGCAGCAGCAACAGCAGCAGCAGCAGCAGCAGCAGCAGCAAAGGGTACCAGGTAGTCAATGTAATGCTAAGAGTTTAATACCTACTACTACTTCTTCCTTTGATGAACCTAAGCTTGCTGCTGCTGGTGCTGCTGTTAAGAAAATATATATTTCTCCTGCTGCTCCTGCTGCTGCTCCTGCTGCTGCTGCACCTGGTGCTGCTGGTGCTGCTGCTGCACCATTGCTGCAGCTCGCTGGGCACACGCCTAAGAGACGCAGAATCGATTTGCGCTCGCAGCAGCAGCAGCAGCAGCAGCAGCAAGAGCAGCAGGAAGTACAGAAGCCACAGGAAGAAAAGAAGGAGCAGCAGCAACAGCAGCAGCAGCAGCAGCAGCAGCAAAAGGAAGCAACTGCTGCTGATGCAGGAGACTGCAGCAAAGACACGAAGGATCACCCTACTGCTGCAGTTGCTGCTGCAGCAGAAGCAACTGCAGCAAAAGTTGCCACAGAAGGCAAGGGCAGCAGCAACAGCAGCAGCACCAGCAGCTCACAAGAAGAACCAGAGAATAAACCCACACAGTTGTGCTCCCCTGCCCAAGCCTAGGGTTTAGGGTTTAGGGTTTAGGGTTTATGTGGTGGTCTCCATCACCATAACTAAAAAGACAAAAACATAAATAATAAACTGTTGTCTTATTGGCATGAGGGTTTAGGGTTTAGGGTTTAGGGTTTGGGGTCCCAGGGTTTAGGGTTTGGCTCCTAGGGTTTAGTGTTTAGGGTTTAAGAATTAGGTCTTAGGGTTTAGGGTTTAGTAGCAGAGCGCCCCAGGCGCATGGAGAGGGACGAGCAGAATTAGAACCCCTTTTTAGGGTTTAGGGTTTAGATTACAGCGAGAATGAGTGTTTAGGGTTTAGGGTTTAGGGTTTAGAGGAAGGAGACAGAGCACAATTGTTTTTATTTATTTATTTTTCTCTCTTTGTCTCCTAAAAGGAGACAATTAAAAAGGAGACAATTTATTTATTTATTTATTTATTTATTTATTTATTTATTTATTTATTCCCCTGTGTCTCCTTTTCTCTGTGTCTCCTCTTTTGTCTCTTCCTCTCCTTGTCTCCTTATAACGATCCTATTATTTGCTGCCAGCAGCAGCAGCAGCAGCAGCAGCAGCAGCAGCAGCAGTGAGTACTGCCGGTGTTGCTGCTGCTGCTGTTTCTGCTGCTAATACTGCTACAGCAGCAGGAGTCGCAGCAGCAGCAGCAGCAGTTGCTGCTGCTGCTGCTGCAGCAAATGGAGCCTGTCGTCAGCGCTGCCGACCGCCAAACCCTAAACCCTAAACCCTAAACCCTAAATTGTTGTTAAAGCCCTAAAATGTTTAATAAAAAATAAATAAAAGAATAAACATAGGAGACACCGTAAACCCTAGATCTGTATAAACCCTAAACCCTAAACCCTAATCCTCATCGTTTGTTTTCGGTAGTAAACCCTCCGGTGGGCCCTGAGGGTTTAGGGTTTAGGGTTTAGGGTTTAGCGCCTTGACTTGTGTGTCTTCGTTTTTTATTTATAATAGAAGAATTAATTTTTAGGGTTTAGGGTTTAGGGTTTAGGGTTTAGGGTTTAGGACTATGTAGGGTCCATGCTGCTCGAGTTGTCTGCGCTGCAACGAACCTTCGATTGCCAGCAGCAGCAACAGCAACAGCAGCAGCAGCAACAGCAACAGCAACAGCAACAGCACAACCCGTAATGCAGCTACATTATCAACAACAGCAGCAGCCGCAGCAGCAGCAGCACAACCAGTAATGCAGCAGCAGCAACAGCAGCAGCAGCAGCAGCAGCAGCAGTATGCGGCCTCCCACCCGCCTTTGTTGTGGGGCGGCGCAGCTGCTGTCTCCTCCCACACATAGAGCAGCAGCAACAACAACAACTGCAGCAGCAGCAGCAGCAGCAACAGCAACAGCAGCAGCAGCAGCAACAGCAACAGCAGCAGCAGCAGCAAGAGCAGCAGCAGCACAATGGAGACACTTTGCCTCAGTATCTTCTAAGCAGCTATTTGCTGCTGCGCTGCTCTCCCCTGCAGCAGCAGCACCAAGGCAACGCATACATTCAGCAGCAGCAGCAGCAGCAACGGCAGCAACAGCAGCAAGACCAACAGCAGCAATGACAGCAGCAGCAGCTGCAGCAGCAGCAGCTGCTGCTGCAGGGTCAAGTTCTGCCCGTAGTTTTCCTTCTGCTGCAGTTCTGCTGCGCCAGATCTACCAACCAGGCATCTGCAGCAGCAGCAGCAACAGCAACTGCAGCAGGAACAACAGGTACTTAAGCAGCAGCAGCAGCAGCAGCAGCACTGCAGGTATAACAGAGAGGGCTATGCCATCGCCATGGCTGCTGCTTGCTGTTGAGTTGCTGCCTCCTGCTGCTTCTGCAGTTCTTGCTGCTGCTGCTGGGCTAGAGCATCCGCATAGGCCTGCTGCAGCAGCAGCAACAGCTGCTGCTGCTGCTGCTGCACCTTTTTCTGCTGCTGCTGCTGCACCTGCTTTTGCTAATATGGCATTGGGCAGCAAGACCAATAAGGCTTGGCTCGAGCGGCTGCAGCAGCAGCAGCAACAGCTGCAGCAACAGCTGCAGCAACAGCTGCAGCAACAGCTGCAGCAACAGCTGCAGCAGCAGGAGGGACAGAATACGGAGATGCAGCAGCAGCAGCAGCAGCAGCAGCAGCAAATGCAGCAGCCGCAGCAGCAGCAGCAGCCGCAGCAGCAGGCCGCTCAAATTAGAGAGCTTCCCTGGGTCAGTAGACTTTTATAGATCGTTTGCTGCTGCTGTTGCTGCTGCTGCTGCTGCTGACAACTACAGCTTGCTGCTCTTATTGCTGCAGCATCTGCTCCTGCTCCTTCTTGCTGTTCCTGTTGTTGCAGCTGTTGCTGCTGCTGCTGTCTGTGTGTGTTTGCTGCTGCAGCACGTGTGTCTGCAGCTGCTGCTGCTGGGTATATACACCCGGCACTTCTTCTATCCTAAGGTACGAGTACCTGTATATACTTTGCTGCTGCTGCTGCTGTTGCTGTTGCTGCAGCTGCAGCAGCTGCGCCTTACAGACAGGTTGGTCGACCCAGATAGCTATACTGCAGCAGCAGCAGCAGCAGCAGCAGGCGCAGGAGCACGGCCAACAACCGGAAGTATCAGCAGCAGCAGCGCCAGCAGCAGCAGAGCAGCAGCAGAAGCAGCAGCTTGCACCAGTCCTGATGCAGCAGCAGCAACTGCTGCTGCAGCAGAGCATGCAGAAGCAATCTTAAGGTTTCGCTCCTCATTTGCTGCAGCACCAGAGGACTTGCTCTTAGGACAATCCAGCAGCAGCAGCAGCAGCAGCAACAGCAGCAGCAGCAGCAGCAGGTTAGTGCGGTTGCTGGAAGTGCTGCTGCTGCCGTCGCTGCTGCCAGCAACAGACGTAAGTGTTGCTGCTGCTCTTGAGGGGTTTTGTTTTGCTGCTGCATGCGCTCTTGTTGAGCTGCAGTATGGTGCTGCTGCTGCTGCTGCACTTACAGCAACAGCAGCAGCAGCAAGCACTGCTGTTGCACTCCTGGCGCAACGCCTGCATCAGCAGCAGCAGCAGCAACAGCAGCAACAGCAGCAGCAACATATGGTGAGCCCACACGGGCCTTTATTGGCGTTAGCTGTTGCTGCTGCTGCTGCTCGTGAGAAGCCCGCAGCAGCAGCAAAAGCAGCAGCAGCAACAGCAGCAAAATTAGCAGGAGCAGCAGCAGCAGCAGCACGAGGGAGAACCCCTGCGCTGCTGCCTTATGTTCCTGCTGCTGCTGCGCTGCTGCTAGCACCTCCAGCAGCAGATCTAGCAGCAAAGCTGCAGCGTCTGTGGCTGTCATTGACTGCAGCAGCAGCAGCAACACCTAGGCAGCAGCAGCAGGAGCAGGAGCAGCAGCAACAGCAGCAGCAGCGTATATGGCATGTGCTGATGGCAGAGGGCACTGCTGCTGCTGCTGCTGCAGCAAAGCAGCAGCACCGCATTGCTGCTGCTAAGCAGCTGCATGCAGTCTCCCTTGATCACAAGGTAAGCACTTTACTCATGCTGCTGCTGCTGTTGCTGCTGCTACTGCTGCTGTTGCTGCTACTATTGCTGCTGCTGCTGCTTCTGCTGCTGCAGGATCGAGCGAGCGAAGCAGCAAAAGCAACGAGCTACTACTATGAGTGGGCAGCAGCAGGAGATCTATGTGTGGTGCTGCTGGCAGCAGCAGCAGCAGCAGCACGCTGCAACCCTATGGTAACAGCAGCAGCTGCTGCTGTTGCTGCAGTTGCTGCTACTGCTGCAGCAAACTATATACAAACTCCTGGCTCACCCCGAGCCATGCAACAGCAGCAGCCATAGCAGCAGCAGCAGCACCAGCACCAGAAACAGCAAGAGCAGCAGCAGCAACAGCAGCACCAACAGCAGCAGCACCACCAACAGCAGCAAGCAGGAATCAGCTGTAGAGATACTCAATTGAGAAGACGGAGAGCTGCAAGAGCAGCAAGTGCTGCAGTTGCAACAATTGTTGCTGCTGCTGCTGCTGTTATTGTTGCTGCTGTATTGCTGCTGCTGCTGTGGTTATTGTTGCTGCTACAATGCAGGGAAGCAGCAGCAGCAGCAGCTACAGTAGCAGCAGCAGCAAGTATGTCACCATAACAATGTATATATGTTTCTGCTGCTGCTGCAACGGCAGGCTCCACAGCAGCAGCTGCTGCTACTGCTGCTGCTGCTGCAGCTGCTGCTGCCGTAGCAGCAGCAGCTGCTGCTACAGCAGCGCAGCAGCAGCAAGCCGTTCGAGGCCGCCCCATGCATCTAGCAGCAAAGGGCCTTCTGCTGCTGCAGCAGGAAGACAAGAGACACTTTCTTGCAGCTGCCGCTGCTCAGCAGCAGACAGCAAACCTTCCCATCCTGCTGCTGCTGCTGCTGCTGCTGCTGTACCTGTTGCAGTACCTCCTGCAGTAGATGCTGCAGCAGCTGCAGCAGGAGTTGCTGCAGTACCTGATGACTTAAGCGCGATCTCACCACCACCACTAATGTTGCTGCTACAGCTGCTGCTGCTGTTGCTGCTGCTGCTGCTGCTGCTGCTGCTGCTGCTGCTGCGTGCTCGTCTGCGGAAGGGGAGGCGATGGTTATCAAAGGCATCGCCTATTGAACGCCCTACCACAGCGCAACACTTCACCTTGCTGCTGCTGCTGCTGCTGCTGCTGCTGCTGCTGTTGCTGCTGCTGCTGTTGCTGCTGCTGCTGCTGTTGCTGCTGCTGCTGGTGCTACTGTTGCTAGTAGTGGCAACAATCTTGGCTGCAATTTGTTGGAGCATTGCTGCATGCTGCAGCAGCTCAGCATCAACATCGTTGCTGCTGCTGCTGCTGCTGCTGCAGAAGCAGCCTGGATTGTTGCAGCAATGCTTGTTGCTGCTGCTGCTGCTGCTACCTCTGCAGCAAGCATCACTGAGGTGTACATACACCAGAGATAATTTGCTGCTGCTGTGTGGCAGTGCAGCAGCAAAATCAATAGCTGTAGACACAATATGCTGCAGCTCTGTCTGTGTAAGAGCTAATTCATTGCTGCTGCTGCTGCTGCTGCTGCTGCAGTTGTTATTGTTGTTGCTGCTGCTGCTGCATGGAGGTGCAGCAGGAGGCCGTAACCGCAGCAACTGCAGCAGCGGTGCCTCTATAGACCAAGACAGCATAGGGTGTATAGACAGGGAGAGGAACTGCAGCAGCGGCAGCTGCAGCAGCAAATCCCTACCATAGCTGCTGTATCCGCAGGTTAGCTCAAGGATACGTAAGTTAGGCAGCAAACTAAGAGCGCGCAGCAGCTGCAGCAGCAGCAGCAGCAGCAGCAGCAGCAACAGCAGCAACAGCAGCACACACACAGCAGCATCAGGAAATGATTCAGCAACAGTTACAACAAGAGCAGCAAATTGTGCAGCAACAGCAACAGAAATGGGTGTGCAGATGCGGCAGAAGCAGCAACAGCAACAGCAGCAGCACCACACACAGAAACAGCAGCAGTAGCAGCAGCAGCAGCAGCAGCAGTAGCTTACATCTGTATTGGATAAGTTGCATGCAGCACTAAATCTTATTTCTTGTAGGGGAGCAGCAGCAAATAAATATGCTGCCTTCCCTACAGATAATCCTTGATCTGCTGCTGCTGCTGCTGCTGCAGGTGCTTCTGCTGCTGCTGTTGCTGGTGTTGCTGCTGTTGTTGTTGTTGTTGCTGCATCTGCTGTCGTTCCACTGGTGTCAGCAGCAGCACCAGCAGCAGCAGCAGCAGCAACTGCTGCTGGTGTCCTCTTTTCCAGTGCTGCTTCTGCTGCTGCTGCTGCTGCATCTGCTGCAGCACGTAAACCTGGGTACTCTAATAGTGCTGCAGCAATGCTTAGTAGCTGCTCAGGTTGCTGCTGCTGCTGCTGCTGACGCTGCTGCTGCTGTTGCAGCAACAGCTGCAATATAGGACCTTCATGCTGCAGCACCGGAGAGTCCTTACGCCCCTCCCGCTGCTGCTGCTGCTGCTGCTGCTGCTGCAGTGAAACCTCCCAGGTGTCTCCTGTGGAGCCTCTGCGCTGCAGCAAGGAGCAGCAACCATTTGCTGCTGCTGCTGCTGCTGCTGCATGCGACCCTGCTGCTGTATCTGCTAATGCCCCCCCATACTCTAAACCTGACGCCTGATCTACAGACACAGACCACCGCCTGCTGCTGCTGCTGCTGCTGCTGCTGTTGTTGTTGTTGTTGTTGTCACCTATGATGCACCTAGTGCTGCTGCTGCTGCTGTTGTTGTCACTTAAGGTGCACCTAGTGCTGCTGCTGCTGCTGCTGCTGCTGCTGCTGTTGCTGCTGGATGCATGTAAAGTACCATTTGCCAGCAGCATCAGCAGCAAATGCAGCACATCAGCAGCACCTGCTGGAGGCAGCAGCTGCACCGTTAACTTCTGCAGCGAAGGAAACGCGAACTGCAGCAGCAGCAGCAGCAGCAGCAGCAGCAGCAGCAGCAAAAGCGTCAGAAGCAGCAGTAAAAAACAAACCCTCATATCCAACATAAACGTAACTGACACCGTGGAGCAGCAATAGCAGCAGCAGCATCTACAGCAGCAGCAGCAGCAGCAGCAGCAGCAGCATACCGACTGTAGTGCCTGTACAGCAGCAGGAGATTTTAATCCAATGATGGATAAATCTGTTACTGCCTTCAATGCCTGCAGCTTCTGTCTGCATGTACCAGCAGCAGCAGCAGCAGCTGCTGCTGCTGCTGCTGCTGTTGCTGCAGCTGCTGATGTTGATGCTGTTCCTCCTTGCCCTGCTGTTGTACTTTGTTGCCCTCGTGCTGCAGCAGCAGCAGCAGCAGCTGCTGCTGCTGCTGCTCCTGCTGCTCCCTCACATGTGCAGCAACCACACAAGCAGCAACTGCTGCTGCGCTGCTGCTGCGGCAGCAGCAAACAAAGATGTGCACCACGAAAGCTTAATGATAAACGCGACAGCTGAGGGCATCGCCGACCTGCATGCAAACCCTAAACCCTAAACCCTAAACCCTAAATTGTACCGATGATATTTTAGGGTTTAGGGTTTATGCAGGTGTTTCCCTGATGGTTTAGAGGGTTTTAAAGATGTATGGTTTAAAAATTAGGGTTTAGGGTTTAGGGTTTAGAAATTAGGGTTTAGGGTTTAGGGTTTATGATTGTTGACTTTTATGACCAAGGGCTGGATATCTTGTATATATATATATATTAAATAAATAAATGTTTTTGAATATTAGGGTTTAGGGTTTATGAGGGTTTATGAGGGTTTATGAGGGTTTATGAGGGTTTATGAGGGTTTATGAGGGTTTATAAGGGTTTATAAGGGTTTATGAGGGTTTATGAGGGTTTATGAGGGTTTAGGGTTTAAAGATAATAAATAAGAACTAACTAGCAGCACATAACCATCTATGTAATTGATAATGATAAATATCTTGTATATCCTCAATAAATAAATGTATTAATGTATAAGATAAAC